TGGTTTTTTTGATGTTTAGCTGCAACCCGGCTTTTGCGCTTTCTTCTTTCACCTTGATTAGAAGGCTCCTCAGCTCCTCCTCGCTTTCGGCCATCAGAGTGGTGTCATCTGCATATCTGAGGTTGTTAATGTTTCTTCCAGCAATTTTCACCCCAGCCTTGCATTCATCAAGCCCCGCACATCGCATGATGTGTTCTGCATACAAGTTAAAAAGGTTGGGTGAGAGGATGCAGCCTTGCCGTACGCCTTTCCCAATCTTGAACCACTCTGTTGTTCCGTGGTCAGTTCTGACTGTTGCTACTTGGTCCTTGTACAGATTCCTCAGGAGAGAGACAAGGTGGCTTGGGATGCCCATCCCACTAAGAACTTGCCACAATTTATTATGATCCACACAGTCAAAGGCTTTAGAATAGTCAATGAAGCAGAAGTAGATGTTTTTCTGAAACTCCCTGCCTTTCTCCATTCTCCAGCGGATATTGGCAATTTGGTCTCTCGTTCCTCTACCTTTTCTAAACCCAGCTTGAACATCTGGCAACTCTCGCTCCATGTATTGCTGGAGTCTTCCTTGCAGGATCTTGAGCATGACCTTACTGGCATGAGAAATAAGGGCCACTGTACGGAAGTTTGAGCAGTCTTTCGCATTTCCCTTTTTTGGTATGGGGATATAAGTTGATTTTTTCCAGTCTGATGGCCATTCTTGTGTTTTCCATATTTGCTGGCAAATGGCATGCATCACCTTGACAGCATCATCTTTAAGATTTTAAACAGTTCAGCTGGGATCCCGTCATCTCCTGCTGCCTTGTTGTTAGCAATGCTTCTTAAGGCCCATTCAACCTCACTCCTCAGGATGTCTGGTTCTAATTCATTCACCACACCGTCAAAACTATCCTCAATATTATTATCCTTCCTATACAGATCTTCTGCATAGTCTCGCCACCTTCTCTTGATCTCTTCAGCTTCTGTTAGGTCCCTGCCATCTTTGTTTCTTATCATACCAATTTTTGCCTGAAATTTACCTCCAATGTTTCTAATTTTCTGGAAGAGGTCTCTTGTCCTTCCTATTCTGTTGTCTTCTTCCACTTCCATGCATTGCTTATTTAAAAATAGTTCCTTATCTCTTCTGGCTAACCTCTGGAATTGCGCATTTAACTGGGCATATCTCCCCCTATCCCTGTTTCCTTTTGCTTTCCTCCTTTCTTGGGCTACTTCCAGTGTCTCAGCAGACAACCATTTTGCCTTCTTGGTTTTCTTTTTCTTTGGGACGTACTTTGTTGCCGCCTCCTGAACAATGTCTCGGACTTCTGTCATAGTTCTTCTGGGACTCTGTTTACTAAATCTAGTCCTTCAAATCTGTTCTTCACTTCCACTGTATATTCGCTAGGAATGTTAGTGAGATCATATCTAACTGGTCTGTGTATTTTCCCTGATCTCTTTAGTTTTATTCTAAATACAGCCATAGACTCTACGAGCTACAGTCAGCCCCAGGTCTTGTTTTCACCGACTGGACGGATGTCCGCCACCTTTGGCTGCAAAGGATGTAGTCAATCTGATTTCGGTGTTGACCATCTGGTGAGGTCCATGTATAAAGCCGTCTTTTAGGTTGTTGGAAGAGAGTATTCGTTATACCCAGCGAGTTTTCCTGGCAAAATTCTATCAGCCTGCGTCCCGCTTCATTTTGTTCTCCCAGACCATGCTTGCTGTGATCGCTGTTGTCATTTGACTTCCCACCTTGGCATTCCAGTCTCCTGTAATGAAAATAATGTCTCTTTTTGGTGTATTATCCAGTAGGTCCTGCAGATCCTCATAGAACTGATCTACTTCTGCTTTTTCAGCAGCTGTGGTTGGGGCATATATTTGGATCACTGTAATGTTGAAAGGCTTTCCTTGCACTCGAATTGAGATCATTCTGTCATTTTTGGGTTGTATCCAAGCACCGCTTTAGCGAATTTCTTATTAATTATGAAGGCTACTCCATTTCTTCGATGTTCCTCTTGTCCGCAGTAGTAGATCTGGTGGTCATCTGATGTGAAGTGGCCCATTCCAGTCCATTTCAGTTCGCTGACCCCCAGAATGTCTATCTTTAGTCTTGACATCTCGCCAGTAACAACATCCAATTTGCCCTGGCTCATAGATCTTACATTCCAGGTTCCTATGGTGTGTTGATCTTTAGAGCATCGGATTCGTCGTTCACCTCCAGTACCGTCGGCCGCTAGCCTTCCTTTCGGCTTTGAGCTAGCTGCGTCATCACATCTGGGGCTAGTTGAACTTATCCTCTGCTCCTCCCCAGTAGCATTTTGGCCATCTTCCGACCTGGGAGGCCCATCTTCCAATGGCATACCGACATATCTCTGGTTGTACTGGTCCATTTAGTTTTCTTGGCAAGGATACTGGAGTGGTTTGCCATTGCCTTCCCCAGGGATCACGCTTGGTCTAACCTCTCTGCCACAACCGTCCCGTCTTGGGTGTCCCTTCACGGTTTCGCTCATGACATCATTGAGGTGCTCAAGCTCCAGCGCCCCGACAAGGCGGTGATCCTTTGCTGGTAGAAACATAAATAAAAAAAGAGAAAAATTGGCCATCACTCAAAAAAAAACCCCTGATTTTGTTATTTGGGAGTTGTAGTTTCTGGGATTTATAGTTTACTTATAATCAAAGAGCATTCTGAACTCCACCAATGATATAACTGAACCAACCTTGGCCCACAGAACTCTCATGACCAAGAGAAAAAACTGGAAGAGTTTGGTAGGCACTGACCTTGAGTTTTGGAGTTGTAGTTCACCTACATCCAGAGAGCACTGTGGACTTAAACAATGATGGATCTGGACCAAACTTGGCACGGATGCTCAATATGCCCAGATATGAAGACTGGTGGAGTTTGGGGAAAATAGACCTTGACATTTGGGAGTTGTATTTACTGGGATTTATAGTTCACCTACAATCAAAGAGCATTTTGAAACCAGCCCACAATGAATCTGCACCAAACTTGGCACACTATCTACATGGCCAACACTGCTTGTTTTCTGCTGCCCTGGAGACTAGGACACAATGGAACAATGGCTTCAAACTACAAGAGAGGAGATTCCATCTGAACATTAGGAAGAACTTCCTGACTGTGAGAGTCGTTCAGCAGTGGAACTCTCTGTCCCGGAGTGTAGCGGAGGCTCCTTCTTTGGAAGCTTTTAAACAGAGGCTGGATGACCATCTATCGGGGAGTGCTTTGAATGCAATTTTCCTGCTTCTTGGCAGAATGGGGTTGGACTGAATGGCCCATGAGGTCTCTTCCAACTCTATAATTCTATGATTCTACTAGCAGTTCCCTGCCATGCGTTGCTGTGGCCCAGTCTGTGTATATGTGTTTTGTGTATATGTGTGTGTATATGTGTGTTTGTGTATATATGTATGTGGCTTTGCGCATTCAGTGTAATGTATTTTTTGTTTTTTGGCTTTTTAAGTATCTTCTACTGTGTTTTTCAGTGTTTTTATGAGCGATGGTCACTCCTTGGGAAGTTTGCCCCAATTCTTTTGTTGGTGCAGTTCAGAATGCTCTTTGATCGTAGGTGAATTATAAATCCCAGTAACGACAACTCCCACATGTCAAAGTCTATTTCCCCCAAACACCATCTGTGTTCATATTTGGGCATATTGAGTATTCATGCCAAGTTTGGTCCAGATCCATCATTGTTTGATTCCACAGCGCTCTCAGCATGTAGGTGAACTACAAGTCCCAAACTCAAGATCAATGCCCCCCAAACCCTTCAAGTGTTTTATGTTGGTCATGGGAGTCCTGTGTGTCACACTGGGTTCAATTCCATCATTGATGTAGTTCAGAATGCTCTCTGATTGTAGGTTAATTATAAATCCCAGTGACTACAACTCCCAAATGACAAATTTAATTTTTTGTGTGATGGTCACTCCTTGGGTTAGTAGGTGTCTTGTGGCCAAATTAGGTGGCAATTCATCAAGTGGTTTTTTAATTATGTTAATCCCACAAACAAACATGACATTTTTATTTATATAGATGATTCTATGAATATTGGTGGGGTTGGGAGGGGGGGGGGGCTGTTTTGGGAGTTGTAGTTTACCAACACCAAAAAAGAAGAGAAGGAGAGGTGGAGAGATCTCCAGCCTTCTCTGCCAAAGTGATTCCTAAGATTATCAGAAATATGCGTTCTCTGATGGTCTTTGGCAACCCCTCTGACACCCCCCTCGTGACACCCCCTTCCCCCAGGGTTCTGGACCCCCAGGTTGAGAAACACTGACCTAGAGATTCCTTGCAAGGTTTTCTCAAAGGCACCCCAAATGCCAGAAAGGCCTGCAGGTTGTATGATTTGCAAGGCTAAGACCGGTGCTACTATTTGCCAAAGTGGAGTTTCTTAGCCAAGACATGGAGAGAATTGGCATGCTTGCTTGTAGGAAGGAGCTACTCATTGCTTCCTAAGATATTGCTTCCTATGATATAATCTGCTGCCTTTAGATGTGAGGAAGGATGGTGTCTCACCATCAGTGATGAAAAAAGAGTCAACAAGTTGGAATGAAAGGTGCCATCATTCTGTTCCTTGAGTTAAGGAGGCAATTCTATTGAGACCTATTGTTACAGGACGGGACAGTGTCACGCTTGTGGATTTTCCTTTGTTGGCCTCTGCACTATACACAAACCCTTGAGAGTCCACCTTTTGATGCTTCGTACCCAAGAAAACTATTGTCCAGCCTGATCATTGGAGCAGAATTAGTTGCTTAGGAGTCCCTTTCTATAAGTCACTGCGAGGGAATCTGGAAATCACCAACTCAAGTATCACCTGCATCATTCTTTACCATTAATAATGCTTGTGCTACATATTTTCAACATATGTTGTTTCTGGTATAATATGAAATCTACAGGAAGCATGAAGCTGCTTCTAGCTCAGAGCAAATGGGGCCCAAGAGCTTTGATGTGTCCTCATTACCCAGATCCATGCGGAATCAACATTTAGCGGCTTGGAGAGGAACGAACGGTCACTCACCATCCAGATGGTTACCTGAATCAGCAGGAGACTTGCTCCGGCGGACAGGAGCCGGGCTCTTTGAAGAACTCTTCTGCGGAGTCGGAGATGACTTGCTGCCTGGAGTAGTTGGAGGGTTTGCTTTCATGACACGGCATTCTGGAGAACCAAACCAAAGCACGCATAGTAAGCTACTGAATTGACCTAATGTGAAATTTATTATTATTATTATTATTATTATTATTGGGTTGTTGTAGTTTTTTGGGGGCTATATGGCCATGTTCTAGAGGCATTCTCTCCTGACATTTTGCCTGCATCTATGGCCCTGTTCTCAGTCCCACCACCTTCGCAATCGCATCTGGTGGGGACGAGGGACAGGGCCTTCTTGGTGGTGGCCCCTCAGCTTTGGAACTCTCTTCCGATGGAGCTTAGATCTGCCCCTTCCCTCCTGACTTTCAGAAAGCTGGTAAAATCTTGGCTCTGGAACATAGCATTCTCAGAATGATGATCAATGATCATGTATTATGTATTGTATGTTGTGTTGTTGGTGGCCTTGGCCTTTGTAAGCCGCATCGAGTCCTTCGGGAGATTTTGCGGGGTAAAAATAAAGTTAATAATAATAATAATAATAATAATAATAATAACTGCTGACCACACTGACGGATGGTGATGAATTTGTGATTTACCTTGACGACTTGGCTTTATGTAATTATTTAAACTGTATGTTAATGTATTTTAATGTATTAACGTATTGGATATTAATATGTTTTAGCTTATTTGTGTATGAATTTCCTGTTGTTAGCCGGCCTGAGTCCCTCTTTGGAGGTCGAGAAGACCAGGTTATAAAAGCTCTAAATAAATAAATAAATAAATAATAAGCCTCCTCAGAGGTAACCCTCACCTCACTACCTCTGAGGATGCTTGCCATAGATGCAGGCGAAACGTCAGGAGAGAATGCCTCTAGAACATGGCCATATAGCCCGAAAAAAACCTACAACAACCCAGTTATTCCGGCAATGAAAGCCTTCGACACTACATTATTATTATTATTATTATTATTATTATTATTATTATTATTATTATTATTATTGCTTTTGTAGATGAGCAACACCAAGGTGGGCAAAGCCCATTTCTCATAGAGCCATAACCTGAGTGGTTTCCCTGAAATGGAATAATATTTTTCAAAAACATGGAGGAGATGGGATGGGTTGACCAAACACCTAAATGTCCTCCATGTAATACACAGCTATGGAGAGAAAAGTCCTATTGTAGTGGGAGAAAGGAGAAAGGAACTTCCTCAGCAACCACAAATAGACACATCCAGGCATCATGCCTGTGTATACCACTAACACAATGCCAACTATTGTCAGTCGGTTCTCCTGACTGTTCCTTCATAGCTATAGTCATAACTGCAGGTGTGAGTTATGCTATTTTGGCTGCAGCTGGCACCCCATCTGCACTCTTCCTTCACCATCTTCTGGCTTCAACAGGAGGGTTTTGACCTTCCACATCCAACAGAGAAAGGAAAGGTATCTATGGACCTGGTTCCTCTTCTGGCCAGATTACACAAACATCTGTTAAGGCTTGTCAGGCCGCAGGGCTGCACATCTGCCAGACAGCTGTATTTCCCCATACATTGAGCATGCAATGGGGGTCATACATCACACCTAATGTGCGCACTGGACAATCCCTGCTTCTTGCATCCTCTGCGAACATCAAAGAGACGCGAGCGAGAGCTCAGAGCATCTGCGGACGCAAGTGTCGTGGGTTGGCAACATGCCCAGACTTCTTTGGACTCGGAGCTGAGCTTCCTGTCAAGCTGCACTGTCAGGCTTTCTTTTCAAACACTTTCCCAATACGGAGAGTTTCCCTGGAGCTGTGAGAACTGCTAAAATATGAATCCAACTCCCTTGTTCCAGCTAAAGGAGGGGGGAAGAGGAATCTGTCCATTTGGATTTCTATAACGTCCAAGCTTTTGGAAGCTTAAGTTTATCTTGTCCCATTTCTGCATCAGAAATGATTTTGTTGGACAGAAGGTCCATGCTTAAATTTGCATGCATTTTGTATGCATTTTTCCTATTTCATACAAAACAAGAAACGTGTACAGAAATGTTTGTGTTAGGACAGAGGAAAGTGCAGTAGCTTGTGCTTGGGACCAGGATGCTGGGATATGAAGGTCAAGGAAACCCACTAGGCCAGGTATGGACAAACCAAGGCCTGGGGGCCGGATGCAGCTCCCTCTTCTCTCACACATCCTATCTTTTCTTCTCTCCCTTCCCTCCATCTTTCTTCTTCCCTTCCACCCTTTTGTCCTTCCTTCTTTCCTCTCTTTCCTTCCTCTTTCCCTCCCGCCCTCACCTCCCTCTTTCTCCCTCCTTTCTTCCCTCCTCTCAGTCTTTCTCCTTCCTTCCTTCCTTCCTTCCTTCCTTCCTTCCTTCCTTCCTTCCTTTCCTTTCCTTTCCTTTCCTTTCCTTTCCTTTTGTCCTTCCTTCCTCTTTCCCTCCCACCCTCACCTCCCTCTTTCTCCCTCCTTTCTTCTCTCTCTCCATCTTTCTCCTTCCTTCCTTCCTTCCTTCCTTCCTTCCTTCCTTCCTTCCTTCCTTCCTTCCTTCCCTTTTGCCTTTTCTTCCTTCTCCTTTTCCTCTCTTCCTCCCCTCTGTCTTTCTCCATCCTCCATTCACTTCCACCATTTTGTCCTTTCTTCCTTCTCTTTCCTTTCTCCTTCCCTTCCTTCCACCCTTTTGTCTTTCCCTCCCTTTTGTCTTCCCTTCCTTCTCTCTCTCCTTCCTCCTTTCCTTCCTCCCTCTTTTCCCTTCATCTTTCTCCTTCCAGCCTTCCCTTCTATTCTTTCATCCTTCCTTACTTCTTTCCTCCCTCTCTCCATCTTTCTCCTTCCTTCTCGTTTGTCTTTCCTTCTCTCTTTTATCTTTCCCTTCCTTTCATCCTTCTCTTCCTTCCTTCCTTCCTTCCTTCCTTCCTTCCTTCCTTCCTTCCTTCTCTTTTTCATTTTATTCTTCCTTCGCTTCCACCCTTCCTTCCTTCCCTCTTTTCTCCCTCCTTTTCTCCCTCCCTCTTTCTCCTTCCACCCTTCCCTTCTTCCCCTTCATCTGTCTTTCCTTCCTTCCATCACTGGGTAGCCAGTCTTCCTAGCAGGGAATGTTAGCATGCAGCCCCCAAGTTAGAAAGTTTGCCCATGCCTGCACTTGGGCATGTCACACCACGTTAACCTTGGAAGAAGGCAGTGCTAAAACTCCTCTGAATCAATCCTGCCAACAAATAAGAGCCAGCATGGCGTAAGGAAGTAGGATTCTGGGAGAAGAGGGTTCAAATCCCCACTTGATGGAAACCACTGGACTTTGGTAAGTTCCACTATCCTAGCTTCAGAGGAAAGCAAAGGAAAACCCCATATGAGCAGATCTTACCAAGAAAACACCACAAATGGTTCCCCTTAGGGTTGCCATGAATTGGAAACAACTTGACCACTCGCAGCATCATGGTATTCAAGAAGTTGCCAGATATTTATAGCTGCAATTATTATTGACTTGTCAACATGGTCAACAGTTGGGAATTATGGGAACTATAGCCTGAAACACCTGGAAGATACTTTCAGTGATACTTCACTCAATACCAAACATACATTTGATTAAGGAAAGAGAGGAGGAATGGAAGAAAGAATGAAAGGATAAAGTGAGGGAAGAAGTTGGGTGAGAGAGAGAGAGAAAAAAAGAAAGGTGAGAGGGGGGAGAAGAAAGGAAGGAAGGAAGGAAGGAAGGAATAATAAAGGGTGTTTTAATCTATTGTTTTAATTATTATTTTAATATTTCAATATATTATTGAATGTTTTATCATGCTGGCATCATATAGTGCTTCTGTGAGGCTGCCCTGAGTCCCTCCCCAGGGGTGGGAAGGGCAGGGTATAAATATTTATTTATTTTATTTATTTACTATATTTCTATACAGTCCTTCTCAGCCTGAGGGCGACTCAGGATGGTTTACAAAACTGGCACAATTCAATGCCACAATAATATAAACCGTTAAAAACATATAAACATCCATAAAATTCCATAAACAATAAAATCAATAAAACAAAACACATAAATCTTCCGTATCTAATTTCCAGAATCTACATCTGATTGCAATTGTCCAGCCATTCGGAGGTCAAGTAATTATTTACTACATTGCATTTGAGAAAGCCTGCTCACAAAGCCAGGTTTTGACTTTTTTTTGGAATGTTAGGAGAGTGGGAGCTCATCTAATATTTTGGGGAGGGCATTCCATAGCTGAGGGGCCACCACTGAAAAGGCCCCATCTCTCGTCCCCGCCAACCAAAACTGTGAAAAAGGTGGGACAGAGAGCAGGGCCTCTCCAGAAGATCTTAAATTATAGGAAATAAAAAATATAGGGGAAAAAAATAAGTGATTGAAAGAAGGAAGAAGGAAGAGACAGACAGAAGAGAGAGGGAAAAGGAAGGGAAGGGAAGAGGAAGGAAGAAGAGAAGTCAATGAGAAAGAGATAAGGAAGGAGAGAAAAGGAAAAGGAAGAAAGAAGGATGGGAGGCGAGAGAGACAGAAGGAAGGGAGAGAAGCAGGCAGACAAGAGCAATGAATATTTTTTTAGGAACAACATGAAAGTGCCTCCATGTGGATCCAATGGAGACGATGTTTCTAGATCAGTGGTTCTCAACCTTTTTTTTTTAACCAGGGACCATTTTGACCAGGACTACTTGACCAGGGATGACTTGGACCAAGGACCACTTTGACCAGGGTCCACTCTCCAACATTAGTACCAAAAGGGTTACCAATCCATTTTTTGGTCAACTTTAGATTCGGTTTGGTTATTTCGGGTGCCGATTCAGAGAATTGCATTCGATAGACCACATCAGCTCTAGTTTCTGATACAGAACATATGGCAACCAGTATTTACCATCTTCTCACTCACTGAAAACCATATTTAATAATCTAGAGCTTTGTTTGTTTGTCATGTTAGGAGCGACTTGAGAAACTGCAAGTCACTTCTGGTGTGAGAGAATTAGCCGTCTGCAAGGACGTTGCCCAGGGGACGCCCAGATGATTTGATGTTTTTATCATCCTTGTGGGAGGCTTCTCTCATGTCCCCGCATGAGGAGCTGGAGTTGATAGAGGGAGCTCATCCGCCTCTCCCCGGATTCGAACCTGCGACCTGTCGGTCTTCAGTCCTGCCGGCACAGGGGTTTAACCCACTGCGCCACTGGGGGCTCCATAATCTAGAGCTGATGTGGTAGTAGTAATATTTTGTGGGTAGTCAGCCTCTCCCTTCCCGACATCCCCGTTGTCTTGGCACTATAAGAAGGTTTAATGAGACCAGTTGCTCTCGTTGCCATGTGGTTTCAAGGCAATGGTGTAAAGGTGAGGTCGTGAACCATATTTTCATTCTTGGGGACCACTGGTGGTCCACAGGTTGGGAACCACTGTTCTAGATGGATCTTGTAGCTCCTTCAAAAAAGATGATATTGCCACAACTAATGAAGCCACCTCTCAGTGCTCATTAGATGAGCACATGGGGAGGAGACTGCTCAAACAGGGCTAGACTGCTGCCAGGACAGCCAGGGCTCAACATCTCTCTTTGTACATATGCTTGGGTAGAGTTGGGCCTCATTGACAATGGTAGCAACGTACAAAGGTGTACATTGAATGCTGTGCAATGGCATGCATTTGTTTCCATGCATTGCCCAATGCTGAAATATCTACACACAGGTTGTGTAGGTATGTTGCAGCCATTTTCCAAAAAAATATATTCTTGGAGAACACGGCATACATCTCGAAAAGGAAACTGCAACTGGTATTACCGTTTTCATCCAGAGAAAAGTCATCCTGTGCATATCGGAATTTCTCTGGACCACAGGCAATGAAGACGTCGTCATCCCCAAAGAAATCGTGGAGACAGGTCACCTGCAAGAGAACAAACGTCATCAGTTTTAGTTTTAATCCACAGTGGCACTTGCTTATGGCTCAGGTTTCATGTAAACACAAAGCAGCCTCTTCCATAGCACTGACTCATGCAGTTATTATGTCAAACTGTATTTGTTATACAGTGTAGGCATAGCCATCCATAAAGATCAAAGTTGATAACATTACGCTTAGAATCATAGAATCATAGAGTTGGAAGAGACCTCATGGGCCATCCAGTCCAACCCCCTGCCAAGAAGCAGGAAAATTGCATTCAAAGCACCCCTGACAGATGGCCATCCAGCCTCTGTTTAAAAGCTTCCAAAGAAGGAGCCTCCACTACACTCCAGGGCAGAGACTTCCACTGCTGAAGGGCTCCCACAGTCAGGAATTTCTTCCTAATGTTCAGGTGGAATTTCCTTTCCTGTAGTTTGAAGCCATTGTTCCACGTCCTCCAGGGCAGCAGAAAACAAGCTTGCTCCCTCCTCTCTATGACTTCCTCTCACACACTTATACATGGCTATCATGTCTCCTCTCAGCCTTCTCTTCTTCAGGCTAAACATACCCAGCTCCTTAAGCCGCTCCTCATAGGGCTTGTTCCCCAGACCCTTGATCATTTTAGTCACCCTCCTCTGGACATTTTCCAGCTTGTCAACACATCCCTTCAATTGTGGTGCCCAGAATTGGACACAATATTCCAGGTATGGTCTAACCAAGGCGGAATAGAGAGGTAGCGTGACTTCCCTGGATCTAGGCACTAGACTCCTATTGATGCAGGCCAAAATCCCATTGGCTTTTTTTGCTGCTGCATCACATTGTTGGCTCATGTTTAACTTGTTGTTCATGAGGACCCCAAGATCTTTTTCACACTTACTGCTCTCGAGCCAGGCATTGTCCCCCATACTGTATCTTTGCATTTCATTTTTTTCTGCCTAAGTGGAGTATCTTGCATTTGTCACTGTTGAACTTCATTTTGTTAATTTTGGCCCATCTCTCTAATCTGTCAATATCGTTTTGAATTCTGCTCCTGTTTTCTGGAGTATTGGCTATCCCTCCCAATTTGCTGTCGAGGATTAATTCTACTTTGATAACACACACACACACACACACATTGCATATGTATGTCAGAGATAAGTTGTTTTTTCTTTCTGAAATAGATCCTTGACATCATCACTATAAGTAAAATCAACTAGCTGCCTGATAAGACCATCTATATGAACACAAAGCCGAGAATAAAATATTTGCAAAGGTTCAGCGGGATAGGATTGGCCATATCAGCAAACTGATGCAAGAAAAGTAAGTTGGAACAACTCTGGAAGCTTTTCCAGGAAACATTTCAAGTCCTCCCAAATCCTTCTGTTTTATATCACCTCAACTGGGGAGCATGTGGCTGACTCCAAACATATCGACAAATAATCTCCATTCTAGCTACAGGGTATATAATAAACTCACTCGCCCCCAACTGTGTGCCAATTGGAAATGGAGTTGAAAGCAACTTGGCCAATAGCCAACTTGTCCAGTATCAACGCTGAAAAGGGATTGAACATGTCTGGTGAACTTTGGGTGCCTCCGAAACATGAGAAATCCAATTAGTCCCAAGCTGAGATGCTATTTTGCTCCATATCAACAAGGCATTTGCATCCAGTGGCATCAGGGGTGGCATTATATCGGCCTGCGTCCAAGAGGAGAGTCATTGGCTGAGGGCCAAAAGCTCCAGTTCGGACAAAACAGTGGCTTTGTAACTGGAAACTTGATGCTAATATGGTTGTGGACCCCCAAATCCAGAGATCAGTCTTGGGCTTCAGCCTTCATGCCATTAGGAATGTACAGATACAGCATCAAGGTTGTGTGGTGACCCTATGGAATTCTCTTGGAAAAATAGGATTTTGTGGATGAAAATGTTAAAAATTATCATTGCTGGATATCCTTTGAAATAGGGTCTTGGTGCAGGAAATTAGCTCTTGGGCCAACAGAATCTTCACACTCATGTGATGGTCCCTTCATGTGTTTACCTGTTTCCGGCTAAATGGCAAATCGGTTTATTGGGAATCCTCTCTAAATGGGAATCCCATGCCCAAATAGATGCATGAAGTATGTTGTAGTGGGTTGTTGTAGGTTTTTTTGGGCTATATGGCCATGGTCTAGAGGCATTCTCTCCTGACGTTCCACCTGCATCTATGGCAAGCATCCTCAGAGGTAGTGAGGTCTGTTAGAACTAGGAAAAAGGGTTTATATATCTGTGGAATGACCAGGGTGGGACAAAGAACTCTTGTCTGCTGGAGCTAGGTGTGAATGTTTCAACTGACCATCTTGATTAGCATATAATGGCCTGACAGTGCCTGGAGCAAACTTTTGTTGAGAGGTGATTATATGTCCTTGTTTGTTTCCTCTCTGTTGTTGTGCTGTTGTAATTTTTTTGAGTTTTTTAATACTGGTAGCCAGATTTTGTTCATTTTCATGGTTTCCTCCTTTCTGTTGAAATTGTCCACATGCTTGTGTATTTCAATGGCTTCTCTGTGTAGTCTGACATGGTGGTTGTGAAAGTGGTCCAGCATTTCTGTGTTCTCAAATAAAATGCTGTGTCCAGTTTGGTTCATCAGGTTGTAGTGGCTTGAGCACTGGACTATGATTCTGTAAACTGGTCACTGCTGGTTGACCTTGAGCAAATCACACTCTCTCAGCCTCAGAGGAAGGCAATGGCTCTGAACAAAACTTGCAAGCAAACCCAATGATAGGGTCAGCTTGAAACAACTTGAAGGCACGCAATGATGACAGTAAATCATTGGAATTCCCTTAACATACATTCATATTCCCATTTTTTCCCACCACTGTACTATATTTCTATATTGCCTTTCTCAGCCCACGGGTGACTCAAGGCGGTTTACAAAGGCAAAATTCAATGCCCAAGAACATCATAAAACAATTAAAACAATAGCATAAATATACAATCATAACATATCCAGGCATCGTGCCTGTGTATACCACTAACACAATGCCAACTAATATCATCTTACAAGTATGAAAAGTTCACAAGAACCCAATTTTAATTAATCATAGTTGGAAGAGACCTTGTGGGTCATCCCCCTACCAAGAAGCAGGAAAGTTGCATTCAAAGCATCCCCAACAGATGGCCATCCAGCCTCTGTTTAAAAGCCTCCAAAGAAGGAGCCTCCACCACACTCAGGGGCAGAGAGTTCCACTGCTGAACAGCTCTCACCATTAGGAGGTTTTTTCCTAATTTTCAGGTGGAATCTCCTTTAAAGCCATTGTTCCATTGCGTCCTAGTCTCCAGGGCAGCAAAACACAAGTTCGCTCCCTCCTCCCTATGACTTCCTCTCATGTATTTATAATGGCCCTCATCATGTCTCCTCTTAGCCTTCTCTTCTTCAGGCTAAACATGCCCAGCTCTTTAAGCCGCTCCTCATAGGGCTTGTTCTCCAGACCCTTGATAATTTTAGTTGCCCTCCTTTGGACACATGATAGCAATGTATAAATACATGACAGGAAATCATAGGGAGGAGGGAGCAAGCTTGTATCCCTGAAAACTAGGACACAGAACAATGGCTTCAAACTACAAGAAAGGAGATTCCATCTGAACATTAGGAAGAATTTCCTGACTATGAAAGCTGTTCAGCAGTGGAACTCTCTGCCCTGGAATGTGGTGGAGGCTCCTTCTTTGGAAGCTTTTAAGCAGAGGCTGGATGGCTATCTGCTTGGGCTGCTTTGAATGCATTTTTCCTGCTTCTTGGCAGGGGGTTGGACTGGATGCCCCATGAGGTGTCTTCCAACTCTATGATTATATTTGGGTATCCCCTGGGCAATGTCCTTGCAGACAGCCAATTTTCTCACACCAGAAGTGACTTGCAGTTTTTCAATTTGCTCCTGATATGGAAAAAAAAATGGAGTAGCTCTACCAGAAAGCAGTGAAAGGGCAGCTATTGATTCACTCTTTGAATCACAAATATTGTATTTTAAATGCCAATGAAAGAAACTTTTGGGATTTCCTGCCCCAGATGTTGGCAGAATTTGGCTGGCTTGGCTTCCATGCACTTCGTAACAGGGACTCTATTTGCTGCTCTGCCTTGGGCCATTAAACATCTTGGGACAGCCTAGTTGTCAAGGGATTCAGGACACTTGCGGAAGTTTGATCTTAGAAAATCCTGATACAAACGACTTGTATCCATGTCCTCCGGCTAATATGCAGATCGGAACCCAGCTCTCCGTGGACTTTAACGTTCTGGTATCTATATCTATCCTTTAAAATGCACATCTTGGGAGAAAACAGAGCTTGGAGTGAATACTTTGATGGAGAGAAACACACGCTGAAATGCCAAATGCTATGTTTTAGATCTAGAGGGACAACTCTGCAAAAATGGCACAGACTGATTTGCCCTAAATTGGTCTGCAAAGATGTCGTGACGCATTTGTAATGGCAATGGACATTGGCAGCAATGCACATCCTTGGTCAGTGCATCACAACGGGAGGCAAGGACCTGGAGGCAGATGGCTTGCGAATGTCATGGCAACACAGTTTCCAGCATCAGTCTCTCATGCCCTGCTGATATACATCTGCAAAATCCCCAACACCATGTGATAAATGGGAAAATGCATCAATAGGACTGACTTTGTTTCCTCTGTGACATTTATGAGATGCTTTTTTCTTTGTTCCACCTGTATTGGCTTGTGTCTCTCCTGTCCAACGGGGGATAAATCAATTCCAGGATTTTCATAGGAGCTCTCCAAGGTACTGAATAAAGAACTGCCTATCGCAGCCAGCCCAATACAAGCCTCAATACGGTGCTGAATATTTATTTATAGGCTTGGATAGATTTGGATAGCGTGGACAGCTCTTTTTATATGTAAGCTAAAACCTGGAGTGGATTCACCATCCCGCTGACATGGGAGCCACCAATGCACCCCTCTGAATAAAGAACTGTTAGATTATCTCTATTCTGGGATATCAAAAAATACATTCAAAGTGGGAATAGATATCTTGGCTCACT